ATTCCTCTCTTGATGAGGTAAACCGCTACAAAATATATAATAATAAGAAGAAGAATAATAAATCATATAAATTAATAAATAATTGACAAAATCAATAAATAATAATCGAAATATAATTATTGAGCATTACCAGTCACTTTCATTGATAATTTCGTTCAAATCAAAATCATATCGACCGGTAAGAATATTTTGATAATGAGTCATGTTAGGAAAATCAGTAGATTGAGTTATCGGAAATCCATCAACGCTATTACGATTTTCTAATCGGGGATGAACATCGACCCATAAAGGAGAAAGTTGTTGACTAGTCTTAGGCTCCTTTCTAACATAGATTTCAAGTATTGTTAACTTAATTTGATCTATGTAGTCATTTAGAACCCTTAAAAAGTCGGTCAACGATTCGTCATTATAGATAATTCACTCTCCAAAATGTACTTGTCCTTGTGATAAAAATGAAGTAGGGTATTTTTCAACTATAATCAAATTATAATCAGTACTATTTATACTCATTCTTTTATAAATTGATGAAAGAAATTTATCATATCGGACATTAATTGATTATTTAGCATTGTGTTTGGGAGGACACTTATAATAAACGGTATTTCCGTCATGTATAATTTCGCCATCCCAATAAATCGAAACTCTAACTTTTGGTTCAGAAGACATTTTTTTGTGATTGAAATGAAGAAAAATATATGACTAAAGATGTTGAAGGTGCTATGTTTGAACGTCCTTAAATAGATCTTGGAGGAGTATTCAGAATAAAATAAAATAAAAATACATGTAATAATTTTTTTCTTTTTTATGATATGTCAAATCAATATAATTGTATGACAAACACTGCAAAATCTTCATAAAGAGATACAATTTAATGCAAAACGTGAAAAATATTCCTCTTTGTAAAACATAATTTTTTCTTCCACTTAATAAAAAATAGTTCCGTTTTACAAGATGTAAAAAATAGTTCCGTTTTATATTATAATATAATGTTATGAGACTAATGGAAAATGTTTGGAATATTGGATAAAACAAAAAAAATTCTTACACTAAATATATGTTAAACCTATTTTAGTTACTTACTGAAATAGTGGCTTATTTTGGTCACTTTATCTTTTTGTGGCTTATTTAGGTTCTGAACTATATAAATAATCTCTTATTAAAGTATAATATTATCTTAATCAAGAATAAACCTACTTTTCTTAAAGAAAAATATATTATTTCCATTATGATAAGCTCAATTAAAATTCTTGACCCACCACTATTTAAACTGCAAAGATTTTATTTACAACAACAAAGAAAAAATATATATACCCCTAAGTCAAACCTAAAGCTCTCTAAATATGGACATAGATATTAAATTTTAGTAGACACAAAAGATTACTAGATTGTGATGGGTGAAGTAGGGGTGTGCATTCGATTTTGTGTTATTCGATTTAAATTTTTTGGTTTTTGGTTTTGAAAAAGTATAACCCAATTCGAACCAAAAAAAAATTGGTTCGATTCGGTTTTTCTCTTTTTGGTTTGGTTTTTTCGATTTGGCTATTCGGTTATAACTTATTTCATAACTAATTAATAACATAATCAAAGTTATATTTGCATGCTTAAAAAATAAAATTTTCATATAAGGAAAAGTAATAATATTGAATCTCTTAAATATCCTTTCCATTATAATCACGAGTAAAACATTAAAACACAATACTATCAATAATTTCAATGAAACTAACTCTAAACTCTAAAGTACTATCACTAAACACAAATCGCATCGAGGTTGAACCAGCAATTCAACTCATGTCTTCAATTAAGGTCTCTTAAACCTGAAATATGATGAAAAAACTTCTTAGAAAGAAATAGATAAAAATTTCAAAAGCAAATAGCACACAAATAAAATAAAGCAAGAAAAAAGAGCAAACGGTAAAAGTAAAAAAGTTAACTAGCGCTGCTAATTCTAGTTTTGTTAAAAAAAATTCATGAAAGTGCAAGTAATATGTGATATTTATAGTTATAATGCAAAACCTAATGCCTAAAATTTAGTGAAACAGGATGGCAGTAATTTGATATGGGCCTAAATATTACGGTAATACTGAATTACTAGTATCCTACAGCCTACATAGTAAACCTAAACATTATATGTGTAATTATTAATCTATTTATATATATATATATATATAATTATATATAA